TACCTCATCTTACCCTCAATTCGGCCCCTACACATACACACATACATGTGTGTATGTGCGTACAAGGGGTCTGGTAGCTGAATGGACAGCGCACAGGACTCGTAATTCTGTAGCCCGAATTCCCGGACCAGGCAGAAACAAATGGGCAAAGTTTCTTTCACCCTGATGTCTCTGTTACCTAGCGAGGGTAGGGTAGGATGGATTACTTAATACGGGTGGTACACGAACAAGGGGGACACAGGTGGAAGCTGAGTACCCAAATGAGCCACAGAGACAAGTGGCTAAGTGGCTAAGAACTTTCTCAGTGTCAGAGTAGTTAGTAAATGGAATGCACCAGGCAGTGATGTGGTGGAGGCTGACTCCATACACAGTTTCAAATGTAGATATGATAGAGCTTGAGAAGCTCAGGAATCTGTACACCAGTAGATTGACGGTTGAGAGGCGGGACCAACGAGCCAGAGCTCAACCCCCGCAAGTACAACTAGGTGAGTACACACAGTGTGTGTGTGTTTACTAGTTGTGTTTTTGCGGGGGTTGAGCTTTGCTCTTTCGGCCCGCCTCTCAACTGTCAATCAACTGTTTACTAACTACTTTTTTTATTTTTTTTTTTTTTTTTTTTCACACCACACACACACCCCAGGAAGCAGCCCGTGACAGCTGACTAACTCCCAGGTACCTATTTACTGCTAGGTAACAGGGGCACTTAGGGTGAAAGAAACTTTGCCCATTTGTTTCTGCCTCGTGCGGGAATCGAACCCGCGCCACAGAATTACGAGTCCTGCGCGCTATCCACCAGGCTACGAGGCCCCCTGTGTGTGTGTGTGTGTGTGTGTGTGTGTGTGTGTTAATTAAGAGCCAGAGCTCGATCGTGCAGGCACAAATAGGTGAATACACACTATGGCAGACATCATCTTCATTTGAAACTTACGACATCTAGGAAAAGATAATTGTGCAATCAGACATATGGTGTCTCCCACACACGCTGTCATCGCCAGTGACAGTAACTGATGCAACCTTCTTTCACACTCTCTCCCCCCACATGCTGTTCTTCGTAATTCACACTCTTCTTGAGAGCAAAACTTGCTCTGAGTCCTGTGTCAGCAATACACAACTATGGTAGGTTGACCAGACCACACACTAGAAGGTGAAGGGACGACGACGTTTCGGTCCGTCCTGGACCATTCTCAAGTCGATTCCATCCTGGAATGGTCCAGGACGGACCGAAACGTCGTCGTCGTCCCTTCACCTTCTAGTGTGTGGTCTGGTCAACATACTTCAGCCACGTTATTGTGACTCCTCGTCTACAACTATAGTAGGCTATTGTCTGTTACAGTATAAGCAACTTCCGATATACGACAAACTCAATAAACTCAAGTTCGTCCCATACTTCGTCCCAAGTATGGGACGAACTCAACGTCCCATATTTGACGTATGGGACGTTGGGTCTTGAACTATTAGACCCGGGCCTGAGGTCAGTGAGGCAACATACTTAATTGAATGCTGCTATGAGAATGTTGGAGCCTAGCCTCTGCCCTGATTTTGGGCGCATCACTGTTTTAACGACAGGAACAGTGTGAGCCAACCGTAAGTAATCCCTATGGGTGTAACTCAATTCTGATTGGTCGATATGGCACATGTGTAGTCCTAGGACGAGTGTGGCATCTCTGTGCTGGTGTTTGGGTCGACCCAAGGTCAACTGTCGCAGTATATAGAGTCTGACAGTACCCACGCATCCCAAACGTCAGTGGCATCCATGCTGGCCAGAATTCTATCTTAAGACGTTGACAGTTCTTAACATAAATCCTTACCATTAAGGACTTGCTGGTTGATATTAAGTAGGGCACCCTAAGAGCTCAATTGCTGGGGAGGAGTTGATTATTCAATTGCTCTTATTTGCATAGTACCTCCTAAATATGATCAGTGAAATAAAATCACGCTACGTCACAAACTGGACGGTTACAACATTACACGGTTGCTTCACAACACTGATTTATAACTTTATAATACTGATTTTTTATAATAACTTTTAAGCTCTTAGCAGGCCAGACATCACATTCTGGCCGGTGGTCTTCGGCTCTCGGGGCCAAAGAGCCAGAGTTCAACCCCCGCAAGCACAACTAAGTGAGTACCACTAAAAGAATTCACCTTCTGGGTCCTAATAATATACTTTAGCTCCTGGGTCTCGACACTAGGCTCGAACCCCACCCAATGATCTTTAGCTCCCTACGAACCTGTCCGATGGGTACTGACACCTTCCAGGATATATTATTTCCCCTTCACTTACATCTTTTTAATTCCCTTTGCTCCTCCTCAACACCTATTCAGACAGCATCAACTCACCTGTGTCTATCCATTCATTTAATGGTCCGAAAGTTTTTGTCTCTTGAACCTGCACTTATGCTATCTTAACCCTTAGAGTGCGGCTTACGCAGCTGATGTATAAGGATTCACCCGAGGTCAATGACGATTACGGCAACTTACATTTTTTTGACTACAGAAATGTATAAGAATTGGGTATAGACTAGCTGGTCTTAGAACTGCCAGAGATAGTGGTATGAAGAAAGACTGCGAGAGCTGGACCTAGCGTCACTACACATGATACAGACGTATAAAATACCTAGGGGGGGGGGTACTGACAGTTTACAAAGAGGAAAGATTCACAATTAATATCAAAAGAACAAGAAGTTGTACATGGTGCTATGGCGGCATGTCCACTCACAGGATGAGTGGCGCTGCCCAATAAACTCGCCCCTCGGGGCAAAATTTAAAAAAAATCAAGGTGTGTGTGTGTGTGTGTGACCGTAGGAGGGTGAAGGGGAAGAATGAATAGTGTGTGGGGGGGAGGGGAGAGGTGAGGGAGGAGGGAGACGGCAGCTAGTGAGGTACCCAGAGAGAGAGAGAGGGCCCTGGCGGCCCGCCCCGCTGTCTGGGAGTGGTAACCACTCCACACATGGCCACCAGCGGGGACCCAGACCCATTCCAGCCCGTCCTAACTCTCATTCATACGCCTAATACCTCGCCTGCCCTGCGGCCCATTGTCCTCCAGATGCGAAGACGTTGAACAAAGTGGAAAACATATATTGAAGGTCACTGGCAGTTTGAACAGGAGGTGAAACGTGACGTCAGTGGGAGGAGGATCTAGATATATCGAATTGTTGCGTCAGAGGCAGCCAGGAGGAACCGGCCATGCCAGACTGCTAGTACGGGAGGGACTTGCTCCAGCTGTGCTACACGGCTCTTGATCAATAACAACTTCTTGAGGCTCATGGCGTTTGGGGTCCTCTCTGAGGAGACAATTGTGAGGCAGAGACTGGTGGAGGCAGAGACTGTGCAATACTTGCTGAGAGGATGTTTACATCTCTGGTGCACTTTTGAGGGGTGGTAGGGGGAGGTTATCTTGAGGTTATGTTGAGATGATTTCGGGGCTTTAGTGTCCCCGCGGCCCGGTCCTCGACCAGGCCTCCACTTCCAGGAAGCAGCCCGTGACAGCTGACTAACACCCAGGTACCTATTTTACTGCTAGGTAACAGGGGAATAGGGTGAAAGAAACTTTGCCCATTGTTTCTCGCCGGCGCCTGGGATGGAACCCAGGACCACAGGATCACAAGTCCAGTGTGCTGTCCGCTCGGCCGACCGGCTCCCAGGGAGGGAGAGTAAAGAGCATGGAGAGGCACAAGTAAAGGGAGAAATCTTCATGCTTACCTGTCTCCTTACCTGTGGCGGGGGATAGAGGAGGTGAGGGAGACACCCTCCCTCACCATCCTCCTCAACACGCTATAATCTCCAACATACAATAACCACGCCACAACAATTATCATACAGGACGTTGTACAAATATCCGGATAACTGAGGCCTCGCAAGCCGGCTTATCCGGTCGCCCCAGCGGCCGGCCGCTACATATTAGCCCAAGTCATGCCATCAGCGAGTTTCAGACGTACTGCCCGAAACGCTGAGCGTACTAGCGGCTTTACGAGAATGTAAACACATCATGTTATGTACTCTCATAGACCCAATGTAACTTCTTGTATATATATATATAACCCCCCCCCCCCGGCCGGTATGGCGCTGTGGGAGGGGGCTGTTGAAGCGACTCTTTATGCCGTATATGGCAGTACAGCTGACGTCAGGGGCGCCTTATGGGGAAGCGGGTGACGTCACAAGAGTACCAGGGTGGGGAATGGAGCGTAGAAGTTGGGGGGGGGAGGGGGAGGGTGAGGGGGGTGTTGGGGGGGACGGAAGGGGGTGAGCGGGGGAGGTTATAGGGTGAAATATACACCCTTACGTCATAGACATGTATACAGACCTTTGAGAGCTCACGGGGGCTCACCATAACCCGTGCTACTTGGAACTTTTTGTTCCGAGTAGTGAATCTTTTTAACAACATTTGAGAGCTTTTTTTATGTAATTACAGATTACAGAGTGCTGAAGATACCGGGGGGGGGGGGAGCACCCTCCAACAGAAGGTTTCAGGCAGTTCTCTGCGTAACCACTACCTGGAACCAGATTCACGAAGTAGTTACGCAAGCACTTACGAACCTGTACATCTTTTCTCAATCTTTGGCGGCTTTGTTTACAATTATTAAACAGTTAATGAGCTCGGAAGCACCAGGAGGCTGTTTATAACAATAACAACAGTTGATTGGCAAGTTTTCATGCTTGTAAACTGTTTAATAAATGTAACCAAAGCCGTCAAATATTGAGGAAAGATGTACACGTTCGTAAGTGCTTCGTGAATCTGGCCCCAGGTCCGTAACCGCCACACGGACCAGACTATCACCAGAGGTTAACGCAGGCGGCTCACAACTGAATGCACCCGGGTTCGATTCCAGGACAGGCAGAAGATATTTGGCCAGCTTATTGTACACCTGATGTCTCTGTTCACCAAGCAGTAAAGAGGCACCTCGGGAGTTAGACAACTACTGTGGGTGGACACACCGCCATAGTGACAGTATTGGGCAGCGCCACTCATCCTGTGAGTGGACACACCGCCATAGCATCATGTACAACACTCCCCAATAGGAAGAAAACCCGCTGGGTTGTTCATGCTGTCAATTATCTCGCTTGTGTCGACTTCAGTAATGTTATGTCCAGTGTATTGAAAAATATCTGCTGTAATCTTATTTTTGGTCTGTATAACCGTGCACTGTATTAGTCAATGTTGCAATGTTGATACAGAGCTTGTATCTCTCGTCTTCTGCAACCTGTAATACAGTTCTGAGTACAGACACGGCAGCCATGACACGAAAACATGGCTACCAACCCCACGGTAGTCATGGCAGCCAACATAACAACACTAGAACGGCAACTATCATACTTCCATTAGACTGTCATGCTGCCTAATGCGTCATGAATGCATTACTAGGCAATGATGTGGTGGAGGCTGACTCCATACACAGTTTCAAGTGTAGATATGATAGAGCCCAATAGGCTCAGGAATCTGTACACCAGTTGATTGACGGTTGAGAGGCGGGACCAAAGAGCCAGAGCTCAACCCCCGCAAGCACAACCAGGTGAGTACTATGTCTGGTCCACACTATGGCTGGTCCACACTATGGCTGGCTCCACACTATGCCTGGTTCAGGATTGCCCACTTTACCGCTCTTAACCAGTATTCCCATACGGTCCTCTAAGTCACCTGTACTCCCAACTCTCCAAACAAAGGCTCCCTGTGCCTTTATACCACTTAGTATTTTGTACGTTGTGATCATAACACCTCTTGTCTCTCTCTTTGACGTGTGGTTAGTTACATGTGACTTCAGCTGTCGCCATGGTCCGCGTATCTTATCTCTGACAGTGTCTTACACCCCGTCTTAGGACCCTGCCACTTGTCTTGTTATCACGACAAGTGATGTATCTATCACAGGTGACACATAGTGCCTTGGTGTTGGTCTGTCAGTGCCAGTGGTGTTGTGTTCCCTAGGTGCCACTTGTAGGGGACACCAAGTCTGCACTTGTCATTCCCTAGGCCAGCTAAAGTGAGCTTTCCTAGTATTCTAACTCTGTTAGACAACAATTCTCTCTGGAGAATGTTTCAGTGTGTGGGGGAGAGAGTGGCAGTGTGTGGGGGAGAATGTAGCAGTGTGTGGGGGAGAGAGTGGGACTATCATATATCTTAGGTATTATTAGTGTATTAGCGTGAAGGAGGGTAGAGGGGACCATGACTTACTCGAGCTTTCACTCTGCCTCCTGCTGATTCAACTATGTCCTTCACCTATCACACACACACAGGGGCAGGGGGGAGAGAGAGGAGAGAGAGAGAGAGAGAGAGAGAGAGAGAGAGAGAGAGAGAGAGAGAGAGAGAGAGAGAGAGAGAGAGAGAGAGAGAGAGAGAGAGAGAGAGAGAGAGAGAGAGAGACACACACACAGCCACCACCCACACTACTAGCAGTCATCCACAGTACCAACCCACAGCTACAAATGTGAATTGGCATATATACTATACATATTAATTCTCTGCATCAATTCACTGCCTACTTACAAAGAGGCTCCCCGGCCACAGCCTAGTGGGTTACCATACCATCACGCGCCTTCCCACACTCTCCAATCCGTTTTCTCCACTCCTTTAACTGTTTCTCTATGTATGTCTTCGATATTTACAGATTCCCAGAGTCTAGCTTCCTCACTGTTGTGCTCACCTTCACAGATATATCACCTGGCATACTATTTTGTACTCTTTTTTATATACCATGCAATCAATTTGTTGTTTAAGATTTCACATTGTTCCTATTTCCCTAATTGACTTCTGCCCCTCCCCACCACGCCCCCCCCGGCCTCTGGCTGGGAGCTGCGTGTCTTCCCCTCGCATCAAGCGTGGGGCGACTGGCTATATACCGTATAGCCCCCTATACCCTACATCTTCCCTGCCCTAATCCCCCAACCCCCTACCAGGCGTCTACCCCCACCCCATGATGTCCCCACCACTAGCGCCGCTGGCGGATGTCTCAATCACAGTCTCTCTCCCTCACTCTCTCTCACTCTCTCCCCCTCCCTCTCTCTCCCTCACTCTCTCTCTCTCCCCCTCTCTCTCTCCATCCCTTTCAGGGGATTAAAAAACAACAAACTTTTAAATGTCTTTCAATAGCATTTGGCGAAAATTTGACGAAAAACATACTAAAATAAAACTTTCTGAAAACACATTTCTTCATAAAATAACGTTTTTGTCAAGACGCGAGTTGATATATATACGTTGAACTAAAAAGTTACTTGCTAAGCTAAATGAATTTTGGGGTTCAGTTCATATATATATATATATATATATATATATATATATATATATATATATATATATATATATATATATGTGTGTGTGTGTGTGTGTGTGTGTGTGTGTGTGTGTGTGTGTGTGTGTGTGTGTGTGTGTGTGTGTGTGTGTGTGTGTGTGTGGTGCTGTAAGTAATCTTTCCCACCAGTATTCACTATGGCCGGCGTGCATAATATATGAACTTAACAAACAAGGGAAAGGGGGTTCTGCAAGAGTGTCTCACCACTCGGAAATAACTTGCTTATATCTGCTTCAACTTTCCATGTTCATAAATCCTATCAATGTTCAGTTCCTTCCGGTTGTCGACCCCGTCATAACCTTTGAGTGGTGACAGTTTAAACTTTAGAGGGCGCACCAAGTTCAAATTTGAATTTGAATAAAGTTTGCATTCAAAGCCACTCATGACCTCACTGTAGGCATGAAGACGTTAGGGAATAATCCCATTTTAATTTTTATGTCAATTCAAACCTATACTTATTAAATATTTAACCATATATTTATACTGTTTAGTAACGTTAAATGGTCCTTATAAGTGTAGTAATTATTCGAGTTTAATATATGATTTATCCGTCCTTCACATTATATATACATATTATACTTACACTGAAGACATTTAATATGGGTTGAAAGGAAACTTATCAGCAGTTGTACAATTAATAAGGGAACACGCTTCATAAAGGTGAGTAACTTGTAGTGAATCAAGGCAATCAACGCGACTTATTCAGAACTTCTCCTTTATTATAACTATTCTCATTTTATTTAAAGGGTTTATATTACTTAGATGCAGAGTAACTCTTCTGATATTTAATTTCATGAATTAGGTTAGGCTTCATGAATTCATGAAGTTAATACTTACCAAGTTAGGTTAGCCTAGGTTAGGTTAGATTAGGCTAGGTAAGGTTAGGTTAGGCTAGGTAAGCTTAGGTTAGGCTAGGTAAGGTTAGGTTAGGCTAGGCTAGGTAAGGTTAGATTAGGCTAGGTAAGGTTAGAATAGGCTAGATAAGGTTAGATTAGGCTAGGTAAGGTTAGGTTAGGCTAGGTAAGCTTAGGTTAGGCTAGGTAAGGTTAGGTTAGGCTAGCTAAGGTAAGGTTAGGCTAGGTAAGCTTAGGTTAGGCTAGGTAAGGTTAGATTCGGTTAGGACTGATAATGTTAGATAGATGTACATTATGTACACAACGACATTATTATATACGTATGTCTGCCGTCAGCTGTAACTAAATCGTGCACCCTTTAGTAGGTTTATGTTTCCAAGTCATCAAGTTCAAGGAAGTTTATTGAGAAAAGGAAGTACATCTCAAAAGGATAGAGAAGCTTAGAGTAGCTCTACCTTCGAAAGCCCCAGGGGGCTAGATTCACGAAGCAGTTACGCAAGTACTTACGAATGTGTACATCTTTCCTCAATATTTGACGGCTTTGGTTACATTTATGAAACAGTTTACAAGCATGGAAAACTTTCCCAATCAACTGTTGTTATTGTTACAAACAGCCTCCAGGTGTTTCGGAGTTCATTAACTATTTAATAATTGCAAACAAAGTCGCCAAAGGTTGAGAAAAGATGTACACGTTCGTAAGTACTTGCGTAACTGCTTCGTGAATCAGGCCCCAAACCATCACTTGCTGATAGAAAACGTCGCCAGGTTGTGTTTACTGTCCAGCAGGGACAGTAAACTGTCTGTCCTGTCCTGACAGTTACTGTCCTGTCTTGTACATTAGAACTTACATATCAGCCCGTTCACTTGGGCGGCGAACCCCAGCCACCCACTTCACCTTACCAACCAAAAACACAGAAAATGGTGAATCTTTACGAGTCGCTACTTTTATATAGTACTCCGTATTTCTGTCCGTTGGGGATTATAGGGTGCAAAGTGAGTTATTATTTGCAAGGACAGGATGCATATATACGAATAGTTGCTTGTCCAGAATAGGCTTCATGTCTGTGCAGTCTTCACAGGTTTACAGCACTTTGGTCATCATATTATTACCTGAAGTAATGAATGTTTCAGCTTTAAATTGGCTCCCTGTGTTGTTGCGGCTGTTGTTGTTGTTACTGGTGTTACTGCAGCTGTTGCTGGTGTTACTGCAGCTGTTGCTGGTGTTACTGCAGCTGTTGCTGGTGTTACTGCAGCTGTTGCTGGTGTTACTGCAGCTGTTGCTGGTGTTACTGCAGCTGTTGCTGGTGTTACTGCAGCTGTTGCTGGTGTTACTGCAGCTGTTGCTGGTGTTACTGCAGCTGTTGCTGGTGTTACTGCAGCTGTTGCTGGTGTTACTGCAGCTGTTGCTGGTGTTACTGCAGCTGTTGCTGGTGTTACTACTGATAATAATTCTACTACTGCTACTGTTGTTGTTGTTAAAGATTCGCTGCCTGGAACAAAAAGTTCCAAGTAGCACGGGCTATGGCGAGCCCGTTGTACTGCTACCATTAATGGTAATAAGTGAGCAGGTGTAACAATAAGCGAGGCACACAGCCCTGACACGGCTCGCTTGAGGTAAGCAACTCCCTGCACTTTCTCCGGCTGATATCACAAGATAAACACACAGGCTGCCAAAGCACCTCCGCCATCCTACCCAACACGCCCTCAATCTCTTCTATCCCCCTCCCTGACCATCAACACAGGCTCACCATAGCCCGTGCTACTTGCCCCGCTCCTGTGCCAGGTAAGTTACGGGCTCACCATAGCCCGTGCTACTTGCCCCGCTCCTGTGCCAGGTAAGTTACAGGCTCACCATAGCCCGTGCTACTTGCCCCGCTCCTGTGCCAGGTAAGTTACGGGCTCACCATAACCCGTGCTACTTGCCCCGCTCCTGTGCCAGGTAAGTTACGGGCTCACCATAACCCGTGCTACTTGCCCCGCTCCTGTGCCAGGTAAGTTACGGGCTCACCATAGCCCGTGCTACTTGCCCCGCTCCTGTGCCAGGTAAGTTACAGGCTCACCATAGCCCGTGCTACTTGCCCCGCTCCTGTGCCAGGTAAGTTACGGGCTCACCATAGCCCGTGCTACTTGCCCCGCTCCTGTGCCAGGTAAGTTACGGGCTCACCATAGCCCGTGCTACTTGGAACTTGTTCCGAGTTGCTGAATCTATAACAACAACAACATCAACCAATTTACGTCCTGTTAGGTTGAAATTTACGACATTGCTTTAACAAGATTTTCTCATAAGAGTAATAGTCGTACGTCGTACGTATATATTACAAACACCGCAGATGAATTATCTGCGGCTAACCTCCCTCTCTCTCAGCCGGTCGGCCGAGCGGACAGCACGCTGGATTTGTGATCCTGTGGTCCTGGGTTCGATCCCAGGCGCCGGCGAGAAACAATGGGCAGAGTTTCTTTCACCCTATGCCCCTGTTACCTAGCAGTAAAATAGGTACCTGGGTGTTAGTCAGCTGTCACGGGCTGCTTCCTGGGGGTGGAGGCCTGGTCGAGGACCGGGCCGCGGGGACACTAAAGCCCCGAAATCATCTCAAGATAACCTCTCTCTCTCTGAGCCACAATACCACAGCGGGTCAAGACTTTGGACAAATAATGACTCACAGTAAAGTCTGTATATATATGAATGGTCTGAAACATTCATTTTGTGGACATGCACGAATGATGCAATTCACGTGAAGAGCCGTGCAACACTGGAGAGGGGGAAAGAGAGCAAGGTTAGTTGCCACACACACAGCTGCCCGCCTCCTGTCATACTGTTTAACACGAGTATACCACGTTCCT